TAGTCATATATGTGTAATTATTCTTTTAAAATCATCTGTACGGAGATTGGAAAATAAGAATATCATTTAATAAGCCTTCAATTTTTTTTAAAAGTTTATATATCCAATATTAGTGTCAAATGAAAGATAAAAAAATTCATGAATTTTGGTATATTTTTTTTTATAAAAAGTGGAGCAAAAACGAAAAAGTTATGGAATGTTAAAGAAAATAGTGGTTTTTATATTCAATGGGGCCCACACTTATGTACTCCGTATATGATTTCCTCGCCTAAGCTTCCTCCTCCGTTTGTAGTTCGTATTTCGCATGGAGAGTGGCCAAACCATTTGGCTACTTCTTCAAAGTAGCCAAACCGTTTGGCGACTTTGTCCTACCATGGTTAGACCCAACAGTATTTTGGTAAATACTTTTAACCCGATCTTAATTTCGTAAATATTTTTTTATTTAGCATTAATTCAGAAAAAAAACTCAATACAAAATATTTTAAATTGTGTACGTACTTAACAACAAAAACTTACTAAAGACAAAATGTGTGATCAGGGTACTAAGATAGCTTTTTATATAAAATTGTTTATTTAAGTTTGAGATATTTGAGTTGTTTTTTTTGTTCAAAAAAAGAATAAAATGTATAAATCTGCAAATCATGAGATAAATAAAAAAATCCGGCGAAGTTCAATGTGACCAATGGAGCTTGAGATATTCTTGTTAGCAATGAAGAAATTTTGAAATCAAGTTTAGTTTTGCAGACTGGAGCTGAACTACGAATTATTGGCGGGGAACCTTAAGCATTGTAAATACGGAGTAAACCCTAAAACCTTGCATCGCTTTATCCTTCGCACTAGAGTTCACAATGTTTTGCTGTTTCTTTTAGTGTTTCAGTCATAAATCGAGATTTCATGTGGTCCCATTTTGCTTGATAGCTGTACCTCTCCCACTTTTTTTCAAGGACATTCGTAGATGGAGCACAGATTGGCTAATTCATGGAGATTACCAACGAACAACAAGCAATTCGTTGAAACCGCCTTGGCTTCTGACCTCAGAGTCGACGGTCGGCGCCCTTTCGACTATAGGCGCCTCTCTATAAAGTTTGGCCGGTAAGAATTTTATTTCCACTTTAGTTGCAATCGGCGCTGTATTTCCACTTTAGTTACGTTGACATGAATCTGTCTCCTGAATTCTGTTTTTTAGAAATGGACAATTCTTGAGCGTGTGATGGTCATCTACTATATATGAATTAGGGGAACTGGTAACATATGTATAATCAAAGTTTCATGGTTTCAACATAATAATTAATGAAGAAGTTACATGTCGATTAGTGTGCATAACATGTTATTGCTGACAATACTCAATACAGTTATCTAATTATTCTTTCTATATCATAATTTTTGGAAGTCATGATCAGCCTTCAGACTATGTTGATTGTACAGGGAAGATGGGACTGCAGAGGTGCAGCTCGGACAAACTCACGTGATGGGAGTTGTCACTTCTCAGTTAGTGCAGCCTTATCGTGAAAGGCCGAATGAGGGAAGCCTTGCAATATATGTTGAACTATCTCCCATGGCTGATCCTTCATTTGAGGCAGGCCGTCCTTGCGAGTCTTCTGTTGAGTTGGGACGCATAATTGATCGTGGATTGAGGTAATGTTTTGTTTACTCATCTTTTAGGTTATGTTTGAATCTCGGAAAGTGATAGTTATATGAAGACAAATGCTAATGAGATTTATTGTCATCCTGTGGTTTTACCCTGTAAAATGTTTTTTTTTTAATTTTACGTTATTATAGATCTTTTGTCGTCATATAGTCGAAATTATTAAAAAATTACTTTGTCATCTAGAATATTTTCATTGGGTTTGAGGTAATCATTTTCTCTCTATTTTCCACCATAACTTCTTTCCCTAGTATTTCGTGAGGTGCAAACAGAACCTTAAAGAAACATGATACTATATTGGATGGTAAGACTCAGTGGCGTATCCACTATGGGGGCAGCAAGGCAGCTGCCCCCCCTCAACCCCATGCCAGTCCCTATATGTATCTAAAGTTTCATTGAAAATTGCTCAAAATAAGAGTTAAACATGGGAAAAATTCTAAAATATGATTAAGAGTGTTTTCTTTCCTAAATATAGGATTTATGTAATCTTGATTTAAGAATAAAGGATAAAAAATTCACTAAATTTTATTATGTTTAACTTCTATTTGGATAATTTTCTCAAATTTTATCTGCAATTGCATATTAGCACACAGATAACATAAATTAATCTTTTTATACATATTTGTATGTATTTATCTTAAACTAAATATAATCAAACAATATTAATATTGTGATTTACTATATGCCACTGTACTGAGATTGCTATGATGTCTTCAATGTGATTATGTACCCGTATAACCTTTAATAGATTTAAGGCCATGCATGTTGAGGGATGTTTCTCCATAAAAAGTTAAAATTTATAGGAAGAATTAACAATGATGATTTTTGTAAAGAGATTGTGGTGGTGTATGGCGCCATAATGTTGTAGCCTGTAGGGTATGCCCGGTTAGGGGTTTTGCAGGTGAGTGAGGATTGATTTTTGTTTAGCTAATTTATCTTTATTTTTCAGTCATAGACTAGATATAACTTAATTTAGTTGGATCATGTATTCCTACACAAATTTTTATCTTCAATTCTTTCCAACAATATAGATATCACATTTTTGCGTGAGGGGTTAGTTGTACAAGAAATATTGAAATGCATTGAAAGTGTAAGGAACTGTTTGAGTATCTGATATTGAAGACTGAACATGCAGGGAAAGCAGAGCTGTAGACACAGAATCTCTCTGTGTTGTTTCTGGGAAGTGGGTTTGGTCTATTCGCATTGATCTTCACATTCTAGACAATGGAGGGCAAGTTGTGTAATGTGGTTTTATGACTTGTTACAATAGTCTGACTCAATAAAAGAACTAATTATCATTTCCACTTTTCTTCTTATGATAATAGGAATCTTGCTGATGCTGCTAATGTTGCTGCCTTAGCTGCCCTTTCAACATTTCGTCGGCCTGAATGCACATTGGGAGGAGAAGATGGTCCAGAAGTGATATTGCATCCCCAGGAGGTTTGCTTTTTGGTTATGATTATTCCTGGAACAAAATAATGGATAACAGTAGCTTGTATTAAAAGCGCGCTATAATTTCCATCATATCCTTCATTATCATTATAGGAAGTATGTACTAGTTGTTCTTGCTTAACTTGCTTTTACATTTTACAAGAACTTATTTAATTCATATGCTGCAGTCATTATTGTCATGAATCCTTTGACAGGGGGTGGGTATTTCGGGTTTTGTTTGATTTTATTGGGTTAGTTTGGCACAAACACGCTGGGGAAATGGTTGTGCAATTAGTACAACACTTAGTTTGGTCTCCTTTGATTTTTCTTTGTTTTTTGTGGTGTCTTTTGTTTGGTTTGGTTTGGTGTTAATGAGATTAGTAGTTTTAATCAGTTTCACTTTAATTTTGAATGATATGGTTTGGGATTTCATCAAAATATGCTCAAGTTTTAGTTTGGGTTAGTTCAATGGGGTTTGATTTGGTCAAAACAAACTAAAGTGTCCACAACTACCATCCATTTTTTAAGATATACTACATCCATCCCTTAAGATTTGGACATAAAGGAGTGGTGCAGCTATTAAGAAAAGTGGAGTTGTGTGATTGATATTGCATTAATAAAGTGTGAATAAAGTAAGAATAAATTGCAACCACCCAAATATAACCAAATATGATACGAGACAAGTTTTTGGGTGGACAAAAAAGGTAAAATGGGACAAAGATAGAGGGACGGAAGGAGTAGTTTTGTATGGTTTGCATTGACTTTATGAGCCTGCTTGGAAACTCCTCTTATGGCCTATCAGCCTTATCAATGAACTTTTGTTATCGAACACTAAGCATTTGATTTCATGTAAATCAAAATAAGCAAGTCTGGAGTTAGTATTTTGGCTAAATATGCTGATGATGGCTATTTTACCCTTTTATACAGCTTTTTCTTCATTTCTCAGTAACATTTATTTTTAATATAATTTGTTCATAATTCGGCAGATTTGGCCGTTTCAGTTGTAACTTCAGCAATTTCAGTTGATTCAGCAAATTTCATCTTTACCAAACAGGCTCTAAAACTTCCTTTACGGTGATCTTACTCCTATTTACGTGGGGGCTTACTGGATTGCAAGTGCTGATGTGCACCTTTTCCCAACAAGCAGTTTAATGTTCTTGAATCTATCTAAGAAAACCAACAATTGAGTTAATTTGTTTTTCTCCACAGGTTAGGGACCCCATACCTTTGATTATACACCACTTGCCTATAGCAGTCACATTTGCATTTATTGGCCAAGAGAACATTGTGGTAAGCTAGTAGACAGAGTACACTGACTATATTCCTAACTTTGACTGAGCTGCTTTTTATGAGGATCTCGTTTCATTACTAATTTTCCATTTATTGTGTGCTATTAGGTGATAGATCCAACCCACTATGAAGAGGTTGTCATGGGAGCTAGAATGACCGCCACACTAAATGCAAATGGTGATGTTTGTGCAATTCAAAAGGCAGGAGGAGATGGTATCATGCAGAGTGTCATAATGCAATGCCTACGCATCGCCTCAGTTAAGGCTTCAGATATAACAGACAAGATCAAGATTTCGGTATGTGATGATGATGATGATGATGATGATGATGATGATGATGATGATGATGATGATGATAATAATAATAATAATAATAATAATAATAATAATAATAATAATAATAATAATAATAATAATAATAATAATAATAATAATAATAATAATAATAATAATAATAATAATAATAATAATAATAATAATAATAATAATAATAATAATAATAATAATAATAATAATAATAATAATAATATCATGATATCATCATAACAAAATATTTATGTGGCACCGTAATATTAACAAACGCTTCCATATGCACTATTCATCTTTCTTGTGTTACCCTCCTAGGAGATGAATGGTGTCGATCTCATGAAAATTTAATGGGAGGGGAAACTAGTTGACCCTGGTGGAGGGGCAATGTTGGTCACCCACTCTCCTAACCCCCCATCACCCCCTACATGTGTGTGCACACCCAGACACACTCACACACACACGGTATGTGCATATGTTAACTCTTCACACACACACACGGTATGTGCATATGTTAACTCTCTTTGTTCCGCTAAGTTTGGAGCAAGTAAAAGTGGCTCACATACTAAGGAGAAGGGGAGTTGAGTGGTCAATATTCCATTTGTAAAGAATGGACGATTTTGAGCCACACAATTATGAACCTTGTGGTGTAGTACTGACATTTCATGATGGACCAAAATAGAAATATAGGTCATGTAGGACATAGTTGGACGAATGAGCCTTCTTGAAACTATATAGGACATAGTTGGATGAATGAGCCTTCTTGAAACTATATAGGACATAGTTGGACTGGCATCAAAGGGAACCAATAGCAGCATTGTTGAAGTGTAAAGAGCCTTCTTAAATGCCAAGGGTTTTAATCTCCAGAACTCATAAGGGTTAAATTGAAACTTCAAAACCTTTAAAAGTAATGTGTACTCCGTACCTTGTTTCCAATTTCATTCTTACCTGCACAAGACATGAAGTACTCTTATATATAATAATTGTACATTGCTAACTTAAATTAAATCTAGGGAAATTATCACTAACCTCCCTTGAGGTTTCATACATTATCTCATAGACCCCTACACTATTGAAAACATACTCTTACCCCCCTCCCTATCCTTTAATGAGAGTTTCATAACTCCTAATCATGTTTAGCAAAATTGTGGATTTAATTGTGTAAATTTACTCACTTGCAGATTTGATCCGGTAACCCATAAATTTATCCGTACTACGAATTTTTCCACTAGAAATTGTAACGAAAAATTTGACGTGTTTTCTATTTTTTTCGTAATGTGTGCTTTCCGATGAAATAGTCGTTAATATAGGCATAGTTTTTTGTGATAGAACTACATCTATATGAGAGTAAATTTATAGGACTAATAGAGGACACAATATGAAAATACGAGCATAAAATACAAATCTCTATTACTTTTAAAAGTTCAAAAATATCCATTAGCTAGATTGTAGAAATTAATCTTGGTGGAATATAGATCTCACGCCAGAGATTTTTTTCCCACGCGATAAATGACTATTAGCTTCAACACTTATAATAAAAATATTTGTAAAGTTTGAATGAACATTATTTAGAATAACTGTTTAGCTAAACTCTTGAAATATTATTTTATACCTAAAACAGATATTGGTGAATGATCATTAGGACAAGGCCGAAATCATTCAAGTATTTCTCATAAATAAAACTTTATCAAGTACTGGGTTATCTACTCGGTGAGTACTCGGCGAGTACTCGCTACTCGGCCTCTTACCTTGCAGAGTAGCACCTTAACTCGGTCCGAGTTAATTTTCCGAGTTACTCGCCGAGTACTCGGCGAGTTAGTCAACTCGGTGAGTTAGTCAAATTGGCGAGTACTCGGCTATTACTCGGTATTAAAAAAAAGACATGTGCAAACAAAACCTATGAAATTAATTGCTACTGGTCATCCGTTTGGAGCTTCGACTACTGCTGCTACATCATTTGGAGCTGCGACTGCTACTGCCAGGAGCTCCGACCGCTACTGTGAGGAGTTGCGACTGCTACAATGATACTGCAAGGAGCCGTGAGTGCTACAGTGCTACGGCGTTTGTTAAAAAAAAATAAATTTCTTAGTTATTAAGTTTTCCATTGTTAAAAAAAATAAATCAATCATGTGATTATCCAAACTACTGTAGCCGCAATTTTTTACTATAGAATTCCAAGCTGCTAAGTTTCTTAGTTATTTAGTTCCTTTCATATTAAGCTTTCATTTTTAAATTAATATTTCCTTGGCAGTGTGTTTGTTTGGAACTTTAGTCAGAATTGATATCACCTCTTATTCCCCTCTCCCTTGTCTAATTTCTTATTATCTCCCCTCCTCTCCTTCATGATAAATACACACACAAAATCTTTTAATTTATAGTCATGAACTCTGCTCAGTCTGCGTATAGACTCATAGATATTGATTTAGATGACCCGGAAGTGGAAGAGGAAGAATATGTGTGGAATCTGACTACTAAAGATCTATTTGGAGAAGATCTATTTGGGGACATGGAGGATGGAAGAAGGAAATCACGACCTTGAACCCAACGAAGATTAATATCAGACCAACTTATTAGATGATTGACTTCTTTATGACTTTTTCTTTACGACTTTTGCTACTCCATCATTAGGATAATAGGATTTCTATCTTTTTATTCACTTCTATGCATATTAAGACAATTTAAAGACTATTTTAAGACTATTATATTTCTATAATCTCAGGCACCTATATTATTATATTTAATTAATACATGACCGAGTAATCACCGAGTAATCCTGAGTAACCGGTCCTACTCGCTACTCGGCCCTTGACCGAGTAGCTACCGAGTAGCGAGTTAACTACTTAGATCAAGTACAGTATTATCCTAAAAATAATTCACCAACATCTGTTTTAGGTATAAAATTGATATGCCGAAAGTTTAGCTCACCTATAATTATAAATAATGTTCATTTAAAATTTAAATTTGTTTTTATGATATCCAAAAAGCACATACTAGAAAAGATGTCGTTAAATTTTGTCACAAAGTGTACTTTATCGTGGAAAGATTCTTAATGCGGTTAAATTATTTGTCACCAGATCAAATATGCAAGTGGGTAATTTTACAGGACTAAATCTATAATTTTGTTAAACATGATTAGGAGTTATTTAAATTCTCATTTAAGGATAAGGAGGGGGTAAGAGTACATTTTAATAGTGTAGGGGTCTAGGTGATAATATCTGAAACCTCAAGGAAGGTCAGCGATAATTTCCCTTAAATCTAATTACATACAAATTATTTAAAATCATGATTTTAAGTAATTAGTGAGATCACTGTCATTTTGTTGCCGATTTCAGCGTACATTATCAGGGAGCGGTGAAGTAGTTTAACATGTACTAGTTACCATTAGAGTGTGACTTGACCACTCTTAGGTTTTTGTCGCATCTGCCACTCCATTTAGGTGTCATTTCCATCATGGTTCGAGTTTGACCCTCCTAGACATTGGGGCGGGGTAGCTTCAGGGAAGCCAACCCCCTCCATGGCCGGTGTCATTTTCTGCTCACAGTCTGAAACAGCCAAAGACAAATACAGAATACATCTTAATTTCATTTGCATGGATTATGTGCAGGTTGAATCATACAACAAGGAAAGAGCACTTAGAAAGATCAAATGGCACAAAGGGGCTACTAATGCAGTTGGTATTGTCGATCATCATGCTCACAGGGAAATAAATAATTTAACTAAACAGAATATGAAAGAAAGAGTAAAACGGGAGTGGGGAGTGAGTGAAGGTAATGATGACATGGAGGTTGAAACACGGCAATTTTCGGAGTCAAATGAGACAGAACTAGGATACCAGAATTCAGAAGCTTCTTCATCGATAGCAAATGAAATATCTTCCAACAGAGAAATCACTTTGAAGGATGATGTGAGGACTGTGCGCAAGAGAAAGAAGAAGAATAAAGGCTCAAATCCATCCTGAGGCTTGTTTGTCAAGGTCTGATCTGACTTGACAATGCAACATGTTATAACACATCTGTAAGTTGGGTAATTGTTTCTGGAGGGTAATCCAACTTGCGCTACCCCATCAGCCCCATTTTGTTATTGTTGGGCTGTTTGTGTTTTCAGTTAATTTTTGTCAAAAGAAGTTCAATACCATGTTTGAGTATGTTACCCTTTGTGAAAAGATGCGGGAAAGATGTATGTTACATGAAGATTTCTAGGGGTAAGCACTGCTACAAGACTGGACTGGAACCGGTTTGGATTGGAACCGGAATCACCAAAGTAATTGGTTCAAAGATTCCGGTCTAAGACCGGATCGGACCGGATTATTCCAGTTTTGATTGGAGTCACTGGACAGGTATGGACCGTATTTTACTTTCATTTATTGTTTTTAGAAGTTTCATCTTTAAAAAATAGGTTGTGATTATTTAAAGTTACCTTAATAGTTTGAAATTTTTACTATATTTTTATCAATTTATGTATGATCTTTTCTCATTTAATCTTTTATATTAGAAGATTTAGAACGAAAAAATCTCCTAATATGATCATGTTAATATAAGGAACTAATATAATTTCTCGATTAGTTTAACGAATGGTTTAACTCATTAGCTTTTCAAATTCAATAAAAATTATAAAATATAGCCTAATTAATCACATATGTATTATCATCAAAACAAGATAAATTAAGTAAATAAAAAGCATCCACCTCGATTTTAATGTTTTAGGTTATAGAATTTTTTTATTTTAAGGGGACGATAACTTAAATACTCTAAATTTTAATGGGGTGTCAGGTGTGGATCCCAAACTTGCATATGTAATATGCATAACTTGAACTTCATATAAAAAATTGTTTTTGCACCATGATTATATTTTTATTACCAAAACAAATTTATTGGAATAGTTATATAATTTAAAATACCTTAAGCCCTATTAGAATACAATTAACATTCTAAAATTCATTTGTGAAATGCGTAGTACATAACATAATATTAGGGGTGGACTCGGGCCGGTTTGGGCCCGGTTCGGGCCTGGGCCCCTCGATTCATGAAAGGGGAGGCCCGGAGCCGGCCCGGGTAACCCCCGGGTCTGGGTCGGGCCTCGGTTTAACTTGATTTTTTTTGGCTTTTCCTAATTAACCCCCAACCCTCCCCCCTCACCTCCAAACCACCCCAGACCACCTCAAATGGCCTAAAATACCCAGCCCAACCCAAAAACTTAAAAAAAATTCAAAAAAAAAAAGAAAAATAAATAAATAGGCCCGGACCGGGCCCGAACCGGCCGGGTCGGTTCACCTTTTCAAGGGCCTGAACCCGGCCCGGAACCCCAGCGGGTCGGGCTTACCCGGACCGGTCCCTGGCCGGGCCGGCGGTTCAAACAGTGACCGGGCGGGGCCGCCCGGCCCGAGTCCACCCCTACATAATATTATATCCGGTACAATTTAATTTTAATATGGTCTCATAAATGTTTTGCATATTTAAAATTATGTACATAACACCATAAAATTACAATTGAGCATTTTCATCATTAAGTCTAGTTTAGCTATACCAAATTTCAGATAAAATTTCAACCAGAAAAGCAGTCAAATGATTTTCTGAAATATGTTGTCCTGTTTAACTACGCAGTTATCGTCAAAAAATTATTTGAGTGCCTTCCTGATTGAATTGTTGGCTGAAATTTGGTATGGCTAAACCATTGTTCTAAAACTCGCTAGGCGGTTGAGGGGCGACTATGCCGATTTTTTGACCGACTAGGCTTCTACAGTTAGGGCCGCCTAGGCCGATTAATCAGTCCACCTAGGCCGATTTTTAGAACAATGGGTTAAAGTAGACTTAATGCAGAAGATGCAGAATAATGCAGATTATTTGCACTTTTTTTTGTTAGTTCGAGGAATTGAGGGCTTATTTGCCCCTTTTCCAGTTTTCCCAAAAAATATATGGTCATGTTTCCCCAAATATCTCAGTTAGAGCTGGCATATGCCAAACGTGAATACTCCCGAAGCCACAAGCATAACAGCGGGAAAAGAAACTCAATCTTGAGTGAAATAAAAAACATAATTTTTTTATATAAAGTTTGGGGTATATATATTATGAGTTTATGTCACAGGTGAGAAGCACGAGATTAAACAGATGTTAACCTCGAATTGATGTTTGAGTTCAGCAACAACGAACTCGAACAGTTCGCAAATCCACCGAAAAATCAGAGAAAGACTATTGGTTTTGTTTTATTGAAACATAAAATTTGTTTAAAGAACTTGGAAAGCATAAATACTATTTGGGGTGTGGCTTTTAAGGCCCAAACTCAACAAGAAGTAAATTATGAAAGTTTAAAGTGGAAATTTGGAAGTTAATAAAATGTAAAATTTGAGGCCCAAATACTATGCTGCTCGTTCTGCCCGAGATAAAGAGCAGCATCTTCGTGATGTGCATACATATAAGCCCCATTGAACGTGTTAGAAATTTTCAAAGTCGGGAATAGCAATGACATAGGCGTTGTCATTAATCTTCTTTGTCACTTTGAAAGGATCGTACTTGTGGGTTGCAATTTCTTGTAGGTCCTTACTGGGAAATTGTTAAAAGTTAAAACTCTTGTTTTAAAAGTGCGTAAACAAAGTATGGTCGAATTGAGCTTGAGCATAAGTGTGGCTCTTGACAATTTTTCTAGATCTATGAAACTAGGGATGGACTGGTTCCAAGCCGACTGGCCCGGCCCGGACCGGCACTATTTGGAACTGGCCCGGCAACCGGGCCTAGGACTGGTCCGGTTAGGCCTGAACCAGGTGTTACTAAGAGCAGGCTCGGGTCATGGAAAATAGGAACTGGTTTGTCCCGGCCGGGCTCGGTTTGGCCTTTTTTTTGTTTTTTCAATTTTTCCCCCCGGGTTGGGCTGGGTGTTTGGGGGGTGGAGGTGAGGGGGGATCGGGGGGTTAATTAGAAAAGCAAACAAAAAAATTGAACCGGCCCGGCCCAAGACCGGACCCGCCTGCTACTCAGGCCGGTTCCGGGCCTAACAATTTTTAAAAAAGGCCCGCTCAGCCCCAGCCCGGACCGGGCCTGGTCCCCTTATATGAAACCATGCTCTTGGAGAGTGTTCAAATCCACACAATTTTTTTTAGTTTGCACACTTGAATCAAATCTATTTTCAAACCCGTATGGTGGTTCCATGTCGTAGACATCTTCTAGTAATCGTCCGTTCAAGAAGGCATTATTCATATCGAACTGCCTCAAAGTCTAGTCTAGAGGAGAGAGAATTAACATGAACCACGAATTCTTTATTTATAACGGAAACTCACAAAGCTAGCGGGACAATTAATTAAAAAAAGAAAGCTAGCAAAATTATAAGGGATCAAGGGAGTATGTTTTTCTATTCAAATAGTTTTGGAATACCAATACTTTTACACGCACAATAAATATATAATATTTTCTACAAAAACTATAATACAATATAAATATGTATAACACAATATTAAGTTAGTGAAATTACTAGATATTTTGCATGTTTGATTTTGATTTTTAAAAAAAGAAAACCCTATTTTTAAAATTTGTAATACAAAATAAAAACGTATAGATCCATCTAGGAATGCACCCGGTTCCGGTCATTGTTAAGAGAAGCTCGGGTTTCACCCGGTTAATCCGAGTTTGGGCCAGTTCGAGTACCTGGGTGGTCTAGACGGCTAGACCCGGTCCCGGTTTGGACCTTGTCCCGTTAATCTTTTTTCGTTGCCCACCATTTTCAAGCAACGAATAACTGAATCGGGACCAAAATTGGGACTGAAAGCACCCGATTTGATCTCCAAACGGGTGAATCAGGATTGGGTATCATGCTTGGCCGGTACTTGAACCGAATTTTCCGGACCTGGTCCGGATTTTCCGGACCTGGTCCAGTCCAGAACAGTGTTGAACCCGGTTTCGGATCGGTCTGGTCCACCCCTAGATCCACCATGCGTGGTCAATGTCGACGTACAACATAATAAATCAATTAAGAGCATGAAACAGTGATGGATAATTTGTTGAGAGCGTGCAAAAAAAATGGAGATTTTTTTTCCAAAGTAATGCTAAATAAAAAATATATATGCAAAATTAGGGTTAAGTTAAAACTATTTACCAAAATATTGCTGGAATACAATTGTGAGTTCTAATTTTAGAATATGAATTTATTTAAAAAAGTTTTGTCCCAAAAAACCACCACCGTACCCATCAAATCTTCAAATTTAATTTAATTTTTTATATATTCAAATTAAGGTTGAAGTTACTTTTCTAGTTGTATTGACCGAAGTAATTGTAGAGGACCCTTTGAACTATATCTTCATATAATTTTTATTTACCTTAATACGGAGTAATAATAAAAAATGCATAGTATATATTCCGAACATTTTTTTTCATAATTTCATTGTGAATAATTTTGTGGAATTTGGATTTCATATCCATTTTGATTGATGTTATGATACTTGAAATTGAGATTGGATTATGATTTTGTGAGTACTCGGAGAAATGTGGATTTGGTGAGTGGTAACGGCTATAAGTCTAATTCCACCAGGGATCTCCCAAAAGTGGAGCATCCCAGCTTAATTGTAGTAGTCAGTAGAAAAATCCCGACAACTCGGACTTTTACTACCCGGAGAGCTTGAAATCTCTTTTAGGGGGTGTGCACACTTAAGGTAGGAGTTCGGCTTCCCTTGGTTTTGATAGAGTTTGAGTGATTGGATTATAGTTGGATTTAATTGGGCTTGGATTCCATTGAGGTGAATTGGTTTTGAGGCTTTGAGGTGAATTTCATTGGAATTGATGTGATTTGGATTATTTGGTTGGACTTGATTGAGGTGAATTGAATTATATTATATTGGAGTATTTGAGTGTATTGTATTTTTGGATTGGGTTGAATTTGAGGTGGTTGAAGTTATTAAATTATTTATGGATTTCCAAAGTAATACTTTTGGCTTTGATTAAATATATGTACCTATATTTGGTATATTATTATTTTACATGTGATTTTGTGATGAGAAGTTTGTATAAAGTGTTTCAAAAGGTTTCCTCCCAAATGTTTTCACAAAATGATATATATGTATCAAACATGATTATTTTACAGGGTTGGGTGGGCCTTACTTAGCATTTCCAGCTAATTTTTGTTTCTTTGTGTTTTTCTTTCTGTACTTTATTTGTGCAGGAATTGAGGATCATGTTGAAGTTGATTTCGAGAGCTTCCGCTAGAACACATAGACTAAAGTGATTGAGTAATTTATTTTGGTCTTAATTTTAAAGAATTGTTGTTGAACAGTTAATTATGGAAAATTTTAATTTGTTGGTGGTGGATATCCTGTGCATTCGGTTATGAGAGAACTGAGTGTGGCGGTAACGCCCCTGCTTCCCTTTGAATTTTCCGCTGCAAGACTCTTATGTTTTCGAATAAATCATTATTTAAATATATTTTGGGTGGGAAATTTGGGGGTGTTAGAGTGTTTCCAAACGGGGTCTAAGAAATTGTGAGAGTTTAATTTTAGAACATTGATCTACTTGAAAAAGATTGTAGCCTGAAAAACTTTCACTAAATGTGTCTTCATAATTTTTTTTGATTTTATATATTGAATATTGATATTGATGTCATATGAAAGGTAATAAAAAATTATAAATTTTGATATATTTTTTTATGAAAATTGGATTATAAATAAAAAACTTATAATCATTTAAAAATAGAGGGGTATTTTAAAGTGTGGGTCCATGAATCATTTCTATGGGTCATGTCTTTCTTAAGGAGTGTTTGGGTTTGCTTAAAAAAGTTGAAAAGAGTGTTTTCAAATGACAGCTTCTGCTTAAATTAATCACTTAAAAGCTAAAAGCTGGAAGCAGGTAGAAGGGTGCTTTAAACTGCTTCTCACTTTTTCTATTACACAAAAAGTACTTATTTTACCAAACACTACCAACTTTTACTTTTCCAGAATCACTTTTTTCTCAAACACTACCAACTTTTACTATTAATCACTTTTCCCAAAATCACTTTAAAAAATCACTTTTTTAAAGTTGAAGCAATTGCAAACACACTCTTAGTGTGTTGCGTGCATGAGTTACGATTTCAAGCATAAGTTGCCAAATAAGTTTTAACCAGAGTTTATTTCAGCAAGTAAATATAGTTTTAACTCAATTCTAATTTTGTACTCCGTATATATTTATTTATTTAGCATTACATTGGAAAAAAAAAACTCTAAAATGGAGATTACTCAATACTAAGAAGAAATTACATGCCTGCTTCTTGTACACACCATTTCCATACTCGTTGCCTATAAAGGCTGTTTATTGTTGCTAAATAAATTATTCAAAAAAAAAAACTTCACTGATGGCATCAAATAGCTTTTTTCCCCAAAAAGTTGTCATATTGACTTTTATTAGTCACAAATTCTCAACAATGATTTCAATTATTCCTTCCATTACAATTTGATGATACCATTGTCATTTACGAGGATTGATCGGCAATAAAGCAAACGGATCTCAGTCGCACTCAAATTAATTTTAGGAAAAAAATTACATATTCAAAAACTACATCAACATTTTTACAAAATTGCAAAAACCAGAATCAAATTTGATAAAAATTTAACATATAAAGTAAGAGATTAAGAGTGATTTGTGTTGAGCATGTCAATAGGAACTGATATATGGGGTGTTTGGTTAACAGCCTATCAACCATTTTTGGCCGATTTGACTGATATTTGGCCTTTTGACCAGATAAACAGCTAACAAGGGTGTTTGGTTAAGTGGCTTCTTCATTTGGCTTTTTATTCCAAATAGTCAAAATAAGAAATGACAATTAAAGTGGCATTTAGTTAAAGGGGGTGTTTGGCAAACGGCTGTTAGCTGTTGGCTGTTGGCTGATTATGTTGGCTGATTGACGATATCGGATTCTGTTGGCTGTTTTATTTACCTGATGGTATTAGCGTTTTGTAAAATAGTGTTTGATTAAATGGTTTTTTACAATTAGCTGATAACTTGTTAAATGACTTTTAAGTAAGCTATATAAAAAATCTCTAATTTTGAATAATTATAGTTGTAAACCTATTTCGTATAAAATTTTATCAGAAGTGAGATCATCAAGTCATCAAAGAGATAAATCCAACTATAAGAAACATATCTTATGGCATTTCTGATCTTTACAATTTTTTGGTGGACGTGTAGACACGAGGCACTAGCTAGGTCTTAACTTTATCAATATACCTATGTGCTTAACTTTTACAGTAACACGTGGTAGAAAAATCAGAGAAGAAGAGGTGTGTGTGTGAAACAGAATAATCCAAAAAAGTATTAATGTGAAGAGAAGGTATAGGGATATACCTGGGACTTTTGGGAGGTAAATCGGATTGAAATATATGAAGGAAAAGGGCTAGGCTCGCTACCGTGCTGTTTTTTTTCTTTTGCAGAAGATATCAAAGTGACGAGCAAGAAGAAGGCAAGGAGGTACCGTGGATATAACAGAGATATCAGCTAAATAATCAAACGGCCAACTCCAAAACGCTACGTTCATTGGCATTTCTAGTTTTGGCTGTTTGGGATAAAAATCCAAATGAAAAAGCTAATTAACCAAACACCCAATTAGCTGATTAATCTAGTCAAAAAGCCAAATGATTGTCAAATGGTTGATAGACTCCTAACCAAACACCCCCAAAGTAAGAGGTCGTTTGGCAATACTGTTTTTCGGCTTATCAGGCTTATCAGCCAACTTATTCACCAAACACATGACTTTTGCTTTCGCGCGCTGAATTGTGTAATAAGCAGAAAAAATAAGATTAGAGTTACTTTTCTGACTGTATTTCGTTGAAGTTACTGTAGGTGACCATTTTAGCTATTTTTATGTATAATTTTTTCTTTATTTTATTAATAAAATATATTTTAAAAATAATTTTTTCTTAAATCAGCAGAATCAGCCACTTCAGCCAGAATTTCAAAAATTTCTGCAGAATCAGCCAAAATAGCCGATTTTAGGGCTGTTAGTCTTTGGCTGTTTGAGAATCTGCGGCAAGTTCCTATTTTATCCGTAGTGCTCTCTCTTCTCCTCCTACTATCTCTTCGACATCTTTCACGATACAGAAAAACAAGTCATGGAGAGACCTTTTCTGAATCGACTGATAGATAAATCTGGGACAAATAAATAAATCTAAAACAATCAGAACAAGTTCTTAAAAACAACAAATTCTTACTTTAACTTCCTCTTCGTTTTGATGTTTAAAGCTGGAGGATTTTTAGGGCAGCCCATGGAAATCGTGCAGGTATTTCATATATATAGTGCAAAAAATTCAGAATAAAGCACGTATTTCAGAATAAAAAAATAATAAGTTATTGATCAACCCGATCTCATTCTTCAATAGTGCAGTTCAAAAGACCTATTTCAAGTTTTGAGCCAAGTAAACTCTCAAATCTTCCCCTAGCAAGAAACCGAAAAAACTCTTTCAAATTACTCCTAGCATTCGCTTGGAACTCATTCTGCTTGTGCTTCTTTTTTAAAGCAGAATCAGAATCAGTTTTCAGAAGCTGGTACCTTCCAGCTTCTAAAAAACTGATTCTGGGAGTAAATTAGAGCACCAGAAGTGCTTCTGGAATTTCACTCAAACACTCGAGCTTCTGCTTCTGCTCCTTGAAGAAGCAGAATCGGTTTTGAGAATCAGATCCAGAGCCCGTTTGGTAGCACCAAAATCGGCTGTTTTGGCTGATTCTGCTGAAATTTATGATATTCTGGCTGGAGTGGCTGTTTTGGCTGATTCTGCTGATTTAAGAAAAAAATATTTTAAAAATATATTTTATTAATAAATTAAAGAAAAAATTATATGTAAAAATAGCTAAAATGGTCCTCTACAGTAACTTCAGCCAATACAGCCAGAAAAGTAACTCCAACCTTACTTTTTTGGCTTATTACACAATTCAGTGCGCGAAAGTAAAAATTACGTGTTTGGTGAAAAAGCTGGCTGATAAGCCTGATAAGCCGAAAACAGAGTTCTCCAAACGGGCTCCCAAACACCCCCAAGGTTTTAAATTAGCACCCGTTAAAAATTACCTCACCAAAAACTAAATAAAAAATTTAAATGATGTCCTTAAATGTCATTTATGGCCGATTGTAAACAGTCATTTAACCAAACATTATTTTACAAACTGCTAATATTATCAGCTAATTAAAGCAACGAACAGAAACTGTTGTCGTCAATAAGCCAACACAATCAGCCAACACTCCCATAATCAAATTAGAATAAGGTAGTATTATATATATATACACATAAATTTTATACTATATTTTTAATAAGAAACATTTATTATAAATTTTCATCATATTGAGAAGGCTGCCTTCAAATCATTTAGAGTGATAATAAATTGGCGGGCCAATGGTCAACTGCACAGGCAGGCACAGGTGCAAAATGTGAAACCACGTACCGTCGGCGACAGCATTAAATGCTGCCATTTGCCACAGCCACCCATCCATCCATATTACTCATTTACAAAAAATGAGTCCAATATAATCCCATCCTATCCGGATGCAGAGGAAATAAAAGACAGAGCTGAGTGAAAAGAAATCTGATCGGCGAGACCGATGGAGATAGAGGCGGGGAGAAGAGGGGACGTAGAGAGCGGCGGCGGCGGGGTGGCGTACTTGGTGTGGCAAGAGCTGAGGGTGGTGCTGCCCAACGTGGGGCAGGGCCCAACAAAGAAGCTGCTCCATGGGATCAGCGGCTACGCTCAGCCCGGTCGGATTATGGCCATTATGGGCCCTTCCGGTTCCGGCAAATCCACCCTTCTCGACTCCTTGGCAGGTTAGTTACTACCTACCTTCTATATACCAAATTGTATCTTGCAGTGTAACTCGTATTATGAAAAATGTAAATCACGTCTAAGCAAGAAGTAACTTGCTGAGGAAAGTTTACACGTCACTCACGTTAATAGATATGTAACTTTAAGCAAATTTTGATGTAAGTTGAGTGTGCTCAAGATATGAGTTGAGGAAGATCTAAAATAACTTATAGGAGTCATCCTCAACATGTAATGAAGGTGAGTCTTCTTCATTAGAATCTGAACTTTCATATTCAAAGCCTGCTGGAGGAAGCTTTGGCCGATAGGGAGGCAACTACTTCCATTCCGGCGCAGCAGGCGGCATCTAGAGAGAAAGCGGGAGGCTCCAAGCAATCTCCTCGAATCACCTTAGAGCTTGGACATTCAGTTACAAGCCATGGCATGTGGCTATGGCAAATTTGGCCATAACTAATCGGCCGTCAATTGCTCGATTGGAATTCGCTGAAGATGCTCACCTTCTCTACTCTCTTTGATGCTGCACATGGATAGCCTCCTCACAAAGGCAACTTGCGATGGGGAACGGGAAGGGCGCACCTTCTCTCTCTTTTTTAATTGCAAAATGATGCCTTATTGGGTTTGGTACACCATGTGGATGGTGGGTCAATCTCACGATGTAATTTGCACAACTTTTGTGTATGTTCTTGAAAAGTTAGTTTGTAAATAAACTCTAAAAAAGCTATAAATGACTATAGCACAACACTAATGTATCACGACCACAAAAGAGGAATTATGTTCAATTTTATACCCCAGCTAGTAGTAATCATATTTTTTATCGATTCGACAAGAGATTTTAAGGAGCCATACGTGACTCTTTTATGGAGTCATATGACCCATGTGAGCATCACCATCATCACACAAGTAATTTAAAAAATGTTGGAGATTTTTAATAAATTTTAAATACCTCACATAAAGAATATTTTAGAGTATATGATACATAAACATTTTCAATACGCCAATACGACATCATAATCAAGCACCCGTTTTAGATAGCTAAAACAGAATTTCATTCTTCATTGTGCATTAGGATGTTGCGTACTTGCGTTCTTAGGAGTAATTGTCCAAGATAGGAGTAAAACATAGAAAAAATTCCAAAATAGGAGTTCCAATGTTTTATTCCCTAAATAGGAGTTTATGTTACCAATATACCCCTGATATAATTAAATAGCCCAGATCCGTTTGTGCTTGCGCGTATATCTTTTTCCCTTCCAGATCTGCGCAACTTCCAGATCTGCGACATCTCGCTAGACTCTTCTTGGCCGCCATGGCCTTCTCTTGGTTGTTCCAGGTAAGTTATTCTCCTTCTTCTCCTTTCTCTCCTTCTCCTTCATCCCTTCTTCTCCCTCTTCTCCTTCTCATCATCTTCCCCTGATTTTCAATTTCTTTAATCGGCTGAGTGACTCTCCTCCTGGAGTTGGAATCGGCAATAGCTAGATAAGAGGGAAGCAAGGAAGTGGAATCCATACCACTTTTTCTATTTTGATTTTTTTTTTTGCATTTTTGTATTTTCCAATTTCATATTCTTTTATTCAGAATTTATTCTTTTTTATTGGATCGATTCTGTAAAATTTGAAGATTATTATTAATGTGTAGTTTCATATTTTATATTGAAAACTCAATAATTTTTAATTAATTTGGATTTATTTATTTCTATTGAGTTTTGAGTTTTAAAGTGGCACTATTAATGCTCGGTATATTTTTTTATGTAAATAATTTTTATTACGACATTGAACTGAAAATGTCATTTTTTGACATTACTTTTATCAAGATGTCAATATTATTCATATGTTTGAGGATGTAAAAGTGTTTTTTGTCAAATATTGCCATTTTCATGACATTAATTTTGTCCATTAAAAAGATGGCAATAAAAGACTAAAAAACGACAATATTACTCTTACAATGCCTTTTTTTATTAATTTGAACTGAAAATGTCATTGAACTGAAAATGTCATTTTTTGACATTACTCTTATCAAGATGTCAATATTACTCATATGTTTGAGGATGTAAAAGTGTTTTTTGTCAAATATTGCCATTTTCATGACATTATTTTTGTCCATTAAAAAGATGGCAATAAAAAACTAAAAAATGACAATATTACTCTTATAATGCCATTTTTTATTAACTTGAAAAGGATTTTTTGCCACTTAATGCCATTTTGCAATGCATAATTTTGCCCATTAAGAAATGACAATAAAAAATTACTACTGCATTATTATTAATGTAAATATGGCATTATTATTCATTTTTTTATATTTTTGTAAAGCTGCCATTAAACCAGCAGTTCCATTGGGCTAGAGGCCAAAAGCAAGAGATGTTGGTGGTGTTTGAAGACACTGCCTCATAGTCGGAGTAAAGAGGCGGCGGCTGAGACGCTGGAGGGTGGCGGTTGAGACGCCAGAGGGTGGCGGTTAAGACGCCAGAGGGTGGCGGCGGCGGCTGAGACACCGGAGGGTGGCGGCGGTGGCTGAGATCTGGAGGGTGGAGAGGCTGCTGAGACGTCGGAGTACGGCGGCTGAGATGCGGGAGGGTGGCGGCGGCTGTGACGCCACAGGGCGGCGGCAGCTGGGACGTCGGACGGCGGCGGCGACTGAGATGTTGAAGGGTGGCAGAGGGCAAAGACGTTGGAGGGTGCTGCTGGGTGGCTATGGTCGTACGTGCTAGGGTTTTGAAATGATTTTATTCTAATTTTCATTAAGGGCATTTTGGACAAGCCACACAATTTTTACTCCTATCAAACATTGAACTCCTATTTTGGAACTTTTTCAATGTTTTGCTCCTATTCACGTAATTACCTCGCGTTCTTAGCCCAGGTTGTTTAACGAATGAATGGTTTAGCCAAGTTCCTCAATGAATGAATGGTTAATTATATTATACTCCATTCGTTTAAGATTGTTTGATTTTTCCGTTTTAGTTCATCTAATTATTCTTAATTTATGAATTCAATATCAACCACATGAAATTCATCTTTCTTAATAACCCTGTCTGTTTCTCATGTCCTTAATTGGTATACGTTTCTACATAGATCAATTAAAATAGTACAATTAAATAATTGAGACGTTAATAAATGATGTTAGGTTGGAATATGAAATGATGATAGATTTGGACCATCAACGGTATCCTTAAATTGGTGTTCTTTTTGTGGGATTTCTTTCTCCAAAATTTATTTACCACGGAGTATTATTTTGTAAAGTAATAAATTTATGAAATATTAATGACTTATTGATTTCACATTTCGTTTCTTTACAAAATGTTAATTATACCCGGAGTAGTCTTTATTTTTTTATTTTTTATTTGTAGTTTTGGGGTGTAAATTCATTTTGACAAAACATAACGGGGTATCATAATGAAAGAGATATTATCCGAAATAGGACTAAAAAGGTTTATAAATTCCAAAATAGGACTGTCATGTTTTTATTCTCAAAATAAGACTAATTACTGCCATGTTTTGGCAGTACCAGATTTCAAACATGGCAGTATTTTCCAAACATGGCAGTAATTACTCCTATTTTGGGAATAAAAAACTTGGCAGTCCTATTTTGGAATTTTCAAACTGTTTTAGTCCTATTTCGGTAAATTAGTGCTGGAGTTTTAGTAGACCAAATTATGAGTGATTTTAAAAAAGGCAAAAATGTGATACAAATTAATTTCAAAAGCCTTTCACGTTCGCCACAATAGACCCATAGCCGTTCTTCTCTCTCCTATCCATCGCAATTGCGCAGAAACTTTAGCTTCCCCCATGGCGCAAAGCTTCTCTCATCCATCAGTTACGCAACCGACCTCCGCCAACCTCCATTGACCTCATCTACGTCGTCGATCTCTCCACCATAGCAGTTGCTCGTTCCCCCGCTCTCTCCCTCCCGTACTCCACGCCGGATGTTCTATTTCTTCCCCTTCTGTCCGGTCGATGGGGTAATAGGGGCCGCCAGAGTTCGATTTTGGACCACCGGTGCCAGATCCGCCTTTTTCATTGAATGATGACTCGATTTGGGGCCGCCGGTTCTGGATCCGCCAATATCGGTGATGTCGACTCCGGTTTGGTGCAGCGGGTCCCGGTTCTGCTATCATGGTGGTTGGAAAGGGGCCTGAGGGAACGAAAGGGGGTGGGACAAGGGAGGGGGCGGGGGAGTAGGGTGCTGGACTGCTGGGGACTGGGTGGGGGTCTGGTGTGTAGGTTGGGGCTTGAGCGGGAGAAATGGTGGTCGTGGTTTGGCTGATCGGTGCTAGATCGAGGCTGGAGAGGGGAGGTTGGGGGCAGGTCAGGGGTGGGGATCTGGTATGTGTTGCCACTGTGAAGGGTGCTGATTATGGGGTTGTGACAGGGGAGGGGAGGGGCTGGTGCTAGCTGGGGAGGGTGCAGGCGGGGGTGAAGCCGGTGCTCGTCGGGGGCTGTGACTGGTGGGGCAAGGCGGTTGTCACTGGATGAAACGGTGCGGTGGCGGCTGTGTCACTATGACGGCATCACAGTGGCGGCGGCATCACAGTGACACGGGCGGTAGTAGACTAGTAGCAGTGACACGGGCGGTGGCGGCAGTGACACGGGCGGTGGCTAAAGTGACACGGGTAGTGGCTACAGTGACACGGATGGTGGCTACAGTGACACGGGCGGTGGCTACAGTGACACGGGCGGTGGCTACAGTGACACGAGCGGCGACTACAGTGACACAAGCGGTGGTTGTAGTGACATGGGTGATGGCTGTAGTTACAAAAAACGAACACACAGTGACATAAATTTTTTGGCTACATCATGTTTTCCAATTGCACATATATGACCTTCTTGATCACTTTTTTGCCCCTTTTTAAAAGTGATCACTTTTTGGTTAATTAGTTCAAAATTAGTAATAACCATGTAAAAATCCCTATCATAATTGATATGCAACCGGGTGAGTTTCAGAAGTCCAAGTGAAATAAAATTTATTATTATTATTATTATTATTATTATTATTATCCCGAGTGGCAGTAGGGGCGCAGAATTAAATTTGGTTTAATGAAGATGCATGCATATCGATCATCGCGTTAAATCAATTCATAAAAATGTTCACCCACCCCCGTCTCACCCAACCCTTAATTCTCGATCCCATATTAGGTTGTACTGTCGCTTCACCTAATTAATTAATTAATGATGTTGAAGGTGTCAACTTGATAATAATAAAGACTACAAATGAAAAAAGAAGTTCTGTGTCTTCTTTTTGACGAAAAATCATTTCAAATTTAATTTCTTCTTGTCATCCAATGCATAGCTTGTCTTAGGGATGTTTGGTGGTCTGAATGTTTTTTTTGGTGGTCTGAATGTTTTTACCTGATTTTTTCAAGATTTGGAATGATCTAATCTGGACTACTAATCTGAACTTTATTTATTTATCTGAATTTTTCTAATCTGAAATTGAATGTTTCTGATATGATCTGAATTTTTTTTGTAACTTTGAACTTTTCGTCTAGTCCGTATAAAATAAAAATAAAGGAAAAAACAATACGAATAAGGCAATGGAAGGACAATTTTCAGACCCTTAATTTGTCCCCCAGGGCCCAGGCCTTCGATCTTCTTCCCCACCAAAACAATCACCATTCTTTCAAAAAAAATGTTGTTTGTACCCACCACCCTCTTATACCCACCCAGTGAGAGGCTATTTTTTTGTTTGTGATTCTTTTTATAGACAAAAACATGTCTATTTTGTCTTTAACCGATTTACAAAAAAAAACACAATTGTTCTTTCAATGTCTTCCTCAAGAGTCACTCACTAGTAGCAAGAATACACTCACACTATATACTCCAACTCCAGATTCTCCTCCACACTCTACCCTTGCTTGATAGTAAAGATATTGACAACTTCCCAACCATGACCAAGCTACAAAACAACAATCTGATCCCGTTGTATGTAGGGAAAATTATTATTAACCCCCTAAGGTTATGCCATAATTATTAATGCAACCTTGCATTTCAAAAATCAATTAGTCACCCCCTCAGTTTTGATCATTCTCACTATATGCCCCCTCATGTTAATATTTGTTAAATTAAATTTAATAACTCTTAAATTCAATGAAAATTGGCTGTGAAATTAATTTTTAAAGTAAAATACAATTTATTATCAGAATTATGAGTCATTGTTTTATATCGTTCTTTTTCTACTTAGCTACTCGATCGAGGAATAAATATTGATCAAAGTAGCTAGTTAAGGCAAGAACCAATGACACTTCTTTCATGTGTAGCAAAGAATCAAGAAAAAATGAATTCCATCAATCCATGACCTAAAAGATTGATCTAGTATTAATAAGAGACCTAAAAGACAAAAATGAATCGATATAGGGCCTGAATAAATGAAATCTATCAATCTAAGAACTAAAATATACGATAGTATATCATAGATTTTGATTTGTTTAATTTTTTATTAATTGTATTACTAATTTTGATGATTTCTTCTTCACAAAAAGTTTATTAGTTGAATAAGCTTAAATGATATTTAATTTTTTTAAAGTAAAAAATATAAAATTCATGATATTTTATATCTTACTCCTGAGTCTTCTCGCTTAACTACTTTCATTATTCCACGATTGAGTAGCTAAGCATAAAAATAACGGTAAACAATAACAATGACTTATAATTATGATAATAAATTGTAATTTACTTTAAAATTTAATGTTATAGATATTTTTTTATTGAATTTAAGAGTTGTATTAAATTTAATTTAATAAATAATAACGTGAGGGGGCAAACAATGAAAATGATCAAAACTTAGGGGGTAATTAATTGATTTTTGAAAATGCAAGGTTGCATTAATAATTATGGCATAACCTCAGGGGGCTAATAATAATTTTCCCTTGTATGTATGAGGTTTTTGCAATATTTATGGGACGAGAGAGGATCACCCTGATTAACCCTCTTTTCACTCTTTGTGGCTCAAACCTTTCATCATTAACAAATATTGTATGTCACACATGCTCATCAAACTAATCCATTTCTAATACTGCAAACAAATACTCCTACTCAACTTTATCATAAGCCTTGTTGATATCATATCAATCTTTAGTGCTGCAGCTCCCCTCAGGCCCCAACCCTTTGTTTTACACTTCATTACAATGAATAATATCACTAGCCAAAACAACATTATCTAAGGTACTACGGCCCGAAACAAAACATTATCTATTTGGTTGAAGAAGAAGTTTAGTTATCACATCGAGTTATGAAAAAAATTGAAATCATTCATCATCATTTTCATTTACCCCAGTGCCGCTATGAAAAAAAATTTGAAATATTGAAATATTTTCCAAAAATTAAACAATACTCCATAGTCCAATAAGAAACACTTCATTAATTCTTTTAATATAAAACCCTATCCAAGCCAGTTATATAAGGATGGAACCAAATAAATCTAGTTTTTATCAACTACTAAACCAGAATTCGATTTTCTAAAACTTCACAATTATGAACCATAATGGATATCATTCCTCTTAGGTTCTAGTTTCTTAGGTCTGATTATTTTTTCTTGGGTTCACTCAGTTTCGCACACTCCCACATCTTCTTACATCATAATGTCATTTAATGTTGAATAATAAGAGTGATTTGGTTTCATTTCAGGTAGGCTATCAAGCAATGTTGCCATGACAGGTGATATTCTTCTTAACGGGAAGAAGAGGCGAATGAGCTATGGCGTTGTCGTAAGTAGATTTGGTTTATCCTTTTATTTTGATCAAACAAGTGTTCCTTTTGAATGTGAATACTGCAAACCCATATTCCACAATTCTCGTCTTACTACGTCATGTATAAAGAGTATTCTAATCATATAATAGTATTTTTGCTGCAGTTTTAGACAAAGTATTTTCTTCCAAGTTTATGTGTTGAAGCTAAACATTATTTTCCATTATATTCCTTCTGTCTCAAATTATAAAATACTACGTATCTTGTTATCCTTTTTAGTCCAAACAAAACTATATGTGTTACTTCCTGCTTAGTAGGAAAAAGACTTACGTGGTTCTCATTATTTCATTCTTTTCCATTCAAGTCTCAACCTCTGCTTTTAAGAAATGAATCGGTTGTAAGCTACACACAATGTACATATTTCAAAATTGCGTACATATTTATTTATATATTTATTACTCATTTATTTTATTTATTTATGTTTCGAATAATGGTTTGTTTACAGTGCTATAAAGCTAGGTTTATTTACAAAAGCGACTGCAATTATTATGCATCGTTGGTATCTTTTGAGTCCTTAGATGTCAAGTAATGGACTCATTCTCAACTCTGATAATTTTGCATATTCATTTAATCCAAATACTGTTAAAAAGGTCTCGTCAACTTGATGAAACATTCTAAATGAAAGAATTTTGTTTTTGTTTTACCCTTGGTGGAGATCTTTTTTTTTCTAGTTTCTACTTCAAATTTTCATTAGAATCCTCAATAAATTTAGAATTTTCCTTTAAGTAGGTGGACTCACCTTCTCCATACCATACTTTCGAGTGAGATGTGTCAGGTATCATTGGATTATTCAAACTTGGATTAGTATCATAAAACAGTTTTATTAGATAAAGATTGTAAGATAGTTATTTTGGACATGTTCAATTTGTCTGAAAAATGAGTTTTGATGTAAAAACTTTTGGATTTGGTCCAGTGTAAATGTTTATGTTCGACTACGATTTGGTATTAGTGTTTGTAGTAGTCATTTTTAGCTGAATGCTAATAATATTGAAAAGTATAAGTAAATGATATTGGTGAGAAATGAAACATGCAGGCGTATGTAACACAAGAAGATGTGTTGCTGGGAACACTAACACCAAGAGAAGCCATTACATACTCGGCAAAACTGCGCCTCCCAACCACCTTAAGTAATGAAGACATAAGAGGAATTGTGGAGGGAACAATCCTGGAAATGGGGCTCGTGGATTGCGCCGATCGGGTGGTGGGGAATTGGCAGATGAGAGGCATAAGTGGCGGGGAGAAGAGGCGGTTGAGCATTGCACTCGAAATCCTTGTGCGCCCTCACATACTGTTTCTTGATGAGCCTACTAGTGGTCTTGACAGTGCCTCCGCTTTCTTTGTGGTCCAAGCTCTTAAAAACATCTCTCGAGATGGGAGAACAGTTATCTCTTCTATTCATCAGCCTAGCAGTGAAGTGTTTGCTTTGTTTGATGACCTCTATTTGCTCTCCGGAGGAGAGACCGTTTATTTCGGAGAGGCCAAAACCGCTGTTCAGTTCTTTGCTGAAGCTGGATTTCCATGTCCAAGTAGAAGAAATCCATCTGACCACTTTCTACGCTGTATCAATTCTGACTTTGACATTGTCACGGCAACTTTGAAAGGCTCAATGCGTCTTCAGGTAAGAAGAATCAGTTGCAGTTTGGTTCTGCTGATGATGTCTATTTTTTCACAAGTACATAGAGGCCGGAGTACATGCAGACAGAAAGAAAGAAAATCTTATAGGATAGTATTCTATTGTGTTTCCAGGAAACAGATAAGAGTGATTATCTGATGAATATGGCTACAGCAGATATCAAAGCTATGCTTGTTGAAAAGTTTAAAAGATCAGACTACGGTGCGAGGGCCAGATCAAGGTTGCAAGAGCTCTCTAAAACTGTATGTATTTCAGTGCCCTAACGTTTACATTTTCTTTGACGTACAAATGCACCCTTCCTAAACTTGTACAAAACTTTCATTCTTAAACTACAACATCTACCGTCTGGAGCGTTTGACATTTTTCTGGATATATTTTCGCTAAAGTTTATGAAATCTTTTAATAATATGATTGATAAAGGATTCTAAAAGTAATATAAACTTTTCAATAAGTAATGTATTTAACTTCTATGAAAAGGAGCTACAAAATAACAAAAGAAGGCTTGCCCCTATATACCCCGTGGTGAGAGCCTTCCCCAAACTCTCGTCTTGTAGGACACCAATGTGCTTTAGAATCAATGTACTAATGACTTTATTTAAAAACTATATTATTTACAACATAAATAATTAAGTGCGTATATAAACTCTTTCCCCACTAAACATGATGTTTTTATGGGGGGAAACAAACACCGTTGCCCCTATTAATTACTACCTGCATGCTACCTGGAGCGAAAATTACTACCTGCATGCTTTATTAATTGTAACGGTCTAACTTGTACACTATTTATGTGTTCTACTTTGACCAAAGTTTATTTATTAATGTATCTAATAATCATATCATGAAAAATATTTTCCGAATTTTTCAAAATATGAATACTTTAGTTTTTACTCATAGAAAAGGGCAGCGCAGTGCACGAGCGCATCACCGCAAGGCGAGGGTCCGGGGAAGGGTCTCATCACAAGGGTGTATAAAGGGAAAGCCTTCACCTGTCAAATTTGACAAGAGGCCGCTCCCAAGAAGTGAAACCGTGAAAGCAAATGTGAAAGCAAATTGTTGCAACAAAATAAGAACGAAAGACATAAACTTTTCTAAGTTATAATTTCTGTTTTATTATGCGAGGATATTTCTGATTTTCGACACAAGGAAAAAATCGATGAAGGAAAAACTTCGCATATTTTTGGAGAACGATTTCCCCTTTTGAAAAGACAGATTTCATTTTTTCTGTTTTTTTTGTTTGCTGGGTGAAAACTGAAAACCTAGTATGTATGTGCGTGCGTGTATATATGAGATAGAAAAAATATAATTCATAGAAAGTATTTTCAATAACTTATTGACATAATATATACATTCATCTCGTTGTGCAGCATGATATTGAAATAGAAACAATAAAAGGAAGTCAGGCAGGATGGGGAAAACAACTAGTGACATTGACTCAGAGATCATTTGTGAACATGAGAAGGGACCTGGGATACTATTGGTCACGCATAATTATCTACATAATTGTATCAGTAAGTGTTGGGACCCTATTTTTCCGTGTGGGGACCAGTTATACTGCAATCTTAGCTCGTGGAGCTTGTGGCGGATTTGTTACAGGATACATGACATTTATGTCCATCGGAGGCTTCCCTTCGTTTGTAGAAGAAATGAAAGTATTTACCAAAGAAAGGCTAAATGGACACTATGGAGTTGGAGCTTTTATATTAGCCAACTTCTTTTCTTCCCTGCCATTCTTAGTAGCAGTTGCCCTCATTACAGGGACAATCACATTTTACATGGTGTTCCAGGCCAGCTTTGCCCAATATGTATTCTTCTGCTTAAATCTCTTTGGATGTATTGCTATGGTTGAGAGCTGCATGATGATTGTCGCTTCCCTGGTTCCCAACTTTTTAATGGGAATCATTACCGGTGCTGGCGTGCTGGTAAGTATACCTATCCAATCTATAGGAGAAACTGCATGCATACATGCATGATGCCAGGGAAACAGTATTTGGATGAAAAGGAAGAAATACAAATACAACAACATCCAAGCCTTAGTCCCAAAATCCAGCACATGTGCAATTTTTAAAAAACACGAGTCATGTTTAAATTTTCTTTGCATTTTCTGGGGTAAAAGCAAACAACATAACATAGTTCCCAGTAGTATTTTCTTTTTTCGTCTCTCCTTAGCCTTTTTCTGGAACCAAAAATACCATTGAATTTAGACCATTAATGACTAAAGTACGATTTATATATGTGCTGCAAAATCATTCACACCTATATATTCTTTTCTGTTCAGGGAATTATGATGATGACAGCTGGATTTTTCCGCTTGTTGAATGATCTTCCCAAAGTGTTTTGGCGCTATCCCATTTCGCTCATAGGTTACGGGGCATGGTCTCTGCAGGTAAGCTTGGTGATAATTAGTTAATTCATAAAACGTCGTTTTTTACTCGAGGGAAACCACCCTCTCCATTTCTCTTCAGTACTATGGTTTTGCAAGGAAATACTAACCAACATATGCATATAAGACTTTAATTTATTTCTCCCTTGACCTCTTGGATAGAGCCCTGAAGTTTAAGTCTCAACCAGGGGTGGATCCAGAGTGGGTAGGGGGACAATTGCCCCCTATCAACTCCTTTTAGATATGATTGCACATTTGAAATTTACATTAGTTCTAAATACATACATAATATAAACCGATCTTTAGATTTATTTATTAACATAATTAAAAAAAACTATGTAAATAAGTTATTGCGGAAGAAGTTAAATTCAAGTATGATATCATATTTTGTTGTCGAACGAATATTTTGGTACTCCTTCCGTCCTATTCTGTAAGATATACTATCCTTTTAGGCTACCCTAAAAATACGAAAACTTTCCTAAATTCAACTCAACTAACTTTTTACTTTCCTATTTTATCCCTTTACCCATCATTTCACCTTAATCCAACTATTTTTTGTTTTACCTTTTGAGATTAAAATGGTGGAACAACTTTTTTTCTCCTTTATTTTCTTAAAACCCAATAGTATCTTACATTATGGGGCGAAGGTAGTATTTAATATTTCCGCTCAATATGTTTCGGTGTTTAATATATCTGGTGTGAGTTCACCCCCTCACAGCGATTGGACAACACATATCACATATATCCAATATTTGAAGAAGCTAGTAGTACATATTTTTCCCTGAACTGAATAGTAAAAACATGTGTGTGTGTGTGTGTGTGTTGGTGTGCAGGGAGCATACAAGAACGACATAATTGGACTTGAATTCGATCCATTGTTTCCCGGGGGAGAAAAGATAAAAGGAGTGGACGTGTTGAGAAACATGTACAAATTACCACTCGATCATTCCAAGTGGTGGGATCTGCTGGCATTGTACAGCCTGATTGTAGTGTACAGACTCATATTCTTTTTAGTCCTCAAAGCAAAGGAGCGCGTATTGCCCTTTTTCCGGTCAGTCCGCACCAAGCGCACTTTACACCGCCTCAGCAAGCGCCCTTCGCTCATCCGAAGGCCGTCTGTCTCTTCCAAACGGTATCAGAACATCCGCTCCTTGTCCTCTCAAGAAGGCCTCAGCTCTCCCCTTCCCTAACATGTTCTCAACTTTGTGTCAGTTGTTATGTTCATATGTCAATCATTAAGTCGAAAAGTTGTTAGTGAGCTTGCTTGTTTATGACTTTATGTTGTCGCAACACATTGATGGCAGCAATGGTTTGTTGTACTTTGTTTAAGTTTTTGTTGTACACGTTTTGAAGGCAGTGAACCATATAACTTAAATGATTTGATTCTAGGGGAGCTCTTCGGTGCATGCACACAATGGAATGTATTGGTGCATCATACATGTGGGTAAATCCCATTGGACGTACGTTCCACATAAGCCAACTCATAAAAAATTAAAAAATTGCAATCTGAACCCTACGAAATTAAAAATTCCTAGAAGCTCTATTCACCTTCCAGAACTCCGGCCATTCCTATCATCCCTATTTCATTTTCCATCGCTATTTTACCTGTCAGATTACAAATCCAAACGAAAATCTCCGACTGTGCATGTAAGCATCGGGTTTGTTTCAAACTGCAGGTTCACAGGCTACACTTCCAGGTTTTTTGAATTTAACCTACACGGCTACACCTCCAAACGTTTCAGTTTATGCAACTTTATTGCTACTCAATTGAAAATAAGATAACCTCTGTCCTGTGCTTAGTATTAACCATTAGCTGTAATTTTTTCCATATTAGAATTTTTCTGTTGGCTGTGTAGGAATGCGATTGAGATGTTAGAAGCTTAATTTTTTTCACTTTAGTTCGCTATGACAAAATTGTTTCCAACTTGGACTTTTGATGATATTATATTACTATTGTGATTGTATTTTTTTTGGTTTATGATGATATACACATCTCTCATTCCTTTAAGGATGTTAGTCATGTTAATTACTTAGATATATCTTTTAGATTTCCACCTACTTCAATTTTTTTTAGATGGAAAAGGCTCTTCTTGGCATTGTTGTAAAGCAGAATCAAATTGTTGATGAGAGCTTAATTATTTCCATGATTTATTTCCTTGTTTATAGTTGTAAATTTATTCTCCCGTAATTAGTGGTTACCTTAGGAATGTATCTTAAAATAGTGGTTGTATCTTAGGAAAGTTATTATTCCTTTCCTGTATATATTCCTACTCCATTGAAGGATGAATATACGAACTTTCCATCTAACATTGGCTCTGTTCTACTTGGTATCAGAGCACCTCCCTGCCATATCAAATCATACAGTCCCATAACCAATTTTTTCCCTATGACAGGAACCGAGAGTTCCTCTCAAGAAACCAGAGTCATTGTTCAGAACGTACAAGATGCCCCCTTTCCCACCGGAATCATCTTGGATGATTCGAACTATCCATTGTGGTCCCAACTCATGGAGATGCGTATTGGAGCAAGGAACAAATCTGGGTTCCTTACTGGTGCGACCCCGAAACCAAAAACAGATGCCAAACAAATCGAAAGTTGGTTGATCGATAACAACCGGGTTAAGAGCTGGCTCATCGATTCAATGAGCCCACCTTTGATACGGCGTTTTATCCGACTCCAAACTGCACAGGAAATCTGGGAGGCAGTTGCTAAAACCTTCTACGATGGTACAGACGAAACACAACTATTCGAACTGAACCGAAGATCATTCACCACTCGTCAAAACGGGAGGTCCTTATCTACATACTACAATGAATTGGTAAGCATTTTTCAAGAGATTGATACTCGTCTCACAACTCAAGAAGAATCTGTTGCCCTGACTGTGTCCCTGAATAAAACTCTATCCCGCCTTCGTGTTCACATATTCTTGGCCGGTCTAGATCCAGAATTTAATCAGGCCCGAAGTGAAGTCTTAAGAAAGGATCCACCTCTTGATCTGGAATCATGCTATGCATACATTCGCAAGGATCAGAATCAAAGGCACGCCATGGAAGAAGCAAAACCGGAGTCAGATGGCATGGTTCATCTAGCCACCAGGAATCGCCCTACGAAAGGGAAGAATCCGAATAACAAGGGGAGCACATACACATGCACTCATTGTGGAGAAGAAGGCCACTCGAAACAAAGATGCTATGAAATCATTGGATATCCTGACTGGTGGGATTTCACGAAAAAGCCTCGGAAAAAGATAAGTCAAGCTACAGTAGCCACATCAAGTAAAGAACTGCCTGCTTCCATTGCTGCTCACACAAAAACAGTTGATAACTCTGGTATGTTAATCAATAACCATGTTCAAAATAATAGTTGGATTATTGACACCGGTGCAACAGACCATATGACGAATAACTCCTCTAAATTATTATGTGTGAAACCCCCGAAACAAACTAGCATCCATACCGCTAATGGAGGAGTAGCACCTGTTACAGGAGAAGGTCCAGCAAATGTGTCTGGTTCTATGAATCTTGATACTGTCCTTGTGGTCCCTTCTTTATCAGCTAATCTTTTATCTGTTAGTCAAATCACAGAAGCCCTAAATTGCTATGTGATTTTTTCGCCTAATGAATGCATTTTTCAGAATATGGCGACTCATCAGATTCTTGGCTATGGTATTAGAAGAGGACGGTTGTACTATCTTGAAGAACATCATCAAGGTCAAGCTCATCATACTGGAATAAAACAGGCGAATAAAACGTTAGCATGGCTATGGCATCGCCGACTGGGACACCTATCATTTAGTTATCTTAGACGATTAAAACCAAATTTATTTTTGGATATGGCAGATGGTGATTTTAAGTGTGGAACATGTGAATTGGCAAAAAGCCATAGAATTTCTTATTTTCCCAGCAATAATAAAAGTTTGGTACCTTTTATGACAATTCACTCTGATGTATGGGGCCCTGCAAAACTTCCCACTCCTACTGGTGCACGTTATTTTGTGACGTTTGTTGATGAATGTACACGAATGATCTGGGTCTCCTTACTCAAAACTAAAGGAGAAGTATATTTTGCATTTAAGGAATTGCATCACATTGTAAAGTCACAATATAACAGTGATATCCAGATTCTTCAATCAGATAATGGGGGGGAATATATTAATCTGGATATGAAACAATTTTGTAAGGACAATTTTATCCGACATCAAACCTCATGTGCAAGCACACCCCAACAAAATGGGCTTGCCGAAAGAAGAAATCGACAAATACTTGAAATCGTTCGAGCCTCATTGTTTGATATGAACGTTCCACGTGAGTATTGGGGTGAAGCAGTTCGTTCAGCAGCATACCTTATCAACAGAACTCCATCACGGGTCATTAACTTCAAAACTCCTCTTCAGAAACTGCAGGAACTTGCAAACATATCAGTGAGCTCGGGTCTTGAACCAAGAGTGTTCGGGTGTACAGCCTATGTTCATCAAAATACAGGAAAGCTAGAACCAAGAGCAGTCCGTTGTGTTTTTTTGGGGTATGCTGATTTTAAAAAAGGGTATCGATGCTATGACCCACAAACTCAAAAAGTTCACATAACAAGAGATGTGGTATTTCATGAAAATATTCCTTTCTTTGGTCATGGGTGTTCTCTTCAGGGGGAGAAAACATCAAACGCAAATGAAGAAAACACGCATGAAAAGCCGAATGAAAATCACTGGTCAACCAACAAACCTAGTTGTGAACCTCATGAGCCTAAATTTGAGGTTCAAGAACCAGAGATTGAAGAATATGAGTCCGAAACCGAAGCCGGCAAAATTTATGAAGAAAGTGATGATGGAAATGAGCATGATAATGAGCCTATTGTTGAACATAACATAGGTGAATCTCCTGAAACTCAAGATAGTACAACCTCTCTAAATAAATCCATCACCAGTGAACATCTAGAGGTAATTGCTACTCCTAACGATTCTATTTTGCAGAATACAACATCTGGTTCTGTTTTGCAGGAAACAAATAACCCACCAGACCCTAGATATCCAGCAAGACTTAACAGGGGAGTACCAAAAAAACAATACCGACCTGATCTTAAAGCGAAGGCTAAATATCCCATCAGTGACTATGTTTCATCTCACCGCTTAGCAAACTCTCATGCACTTCTAGTTGACAAATTATCTACTATCACTATCCCTAATGATGTGCAAGAAGCCTTGAGAGATGAGAAATGGAAGAAGGCCATGAACGAAGAAATGGAAGCATTACAGAAAAGTCGAACATGGGAGTTGGTGAACCTTCCAAAGGGAAAGAAAACTGTGGGATGTAGATGGATATATACAGTTAAGCTTGATTCGGCAGGAAATATTGATCGATATAAGGCTAGACTCGTAGCCAAGGGATACACTCAAAAGTATGGGATTGATTATGGGGATACCTTTGCACCCGTAGCAAAAATAAATACCATTCGTATCTTGGTTTCTATAGCAGCAAATCGGGACTGGCCTCTAAGACAGTTCGATGTAAAGAATGCTTTTCTAAATGGGTATCTAGAGGAGGAAGTGTATATGGACCCCCCTCCTGGTACAAAGTGCAACGGAAAGGTGTGCAAATTAAGGAAGGCGTTGTACGGACTGAAACAATCCCCCCGAGCATGGTTTGGTCGCTTCTCAACCTTCATGAAAAGAATCGGATACAGACAGAGCGATGCAGATCACACACTCTTTGTTAAGAAAAATAAAGAAAAGGTAACTGCCCTTATAGTATATGTCGATGATATGGTGGTCACAGGAGATGACGCGGATGAAATGTCAAATCTCCAAACTGTTCTCGCAGCAGAATTCGAATTGAAGGATCTCGGCTGCCTAAAATACTTCTTAGGCATCGAGGTTGCCAGATCCAAAGCTGGAATCACCATGTGTCAACGAAAGTATGTGTTGGATTTATTAGCTGAAACGGGAATGCTTAACTGCCGGCCAGTGGATACCCCGATTGAAACAAATCATAAATTGACCATTCATACTAATCAAGTTGCAACGAATAAAGACAGGTATCAAAGGCTGGTAGGAAGGTTAATTTATTTGTCACACACACGACCGGATATAGCTTATGCCGTTAGTGTTGTGAGTCGGTTCATGCACTCTCCAAGTGAAGACCATATGGAGGCAGTGTATCGAATTCTGAGGTATTTAAAAGCCTCACCGGGAAAAGGGCTGTTTTTTGCAAGAAACCAAAGCGAGCAGGTGAGTGGATATACGGATGCAGACTGGGCTGGAGATCGGATGGATGGGAAATCCACGTCTGGATACTTCACCTTCGTAGGAGGAAACTTAGTCACATGGAGAAGCAAGAAACAGAAGGCAGTTGCAAGATCAAGTGCAGAAGCGGAATATCGGGGAATGGTTCATGGCGTATGTGAGCTGCTATGGATAAAACGAATTCTTAGAGACCTCGGAATTGATCAAAATGATCCGATTAAACTACACTGTGATAATCAAGCAGCAGTAAAGATAGCCAACAATCCGGTTCAACATGATAGAACAAAACATGTTGAGGTTGATCGTCATTTTATTAAGGATCATCTTGAGAAAAGGACCATTGAACTACCTCACATAGCCTCGAAAGATCAGCTTGCGGATATGCTGACAAAAGCAGTATGTGGAAGGGTGTTTCAAAGCTCTCTTTGCAAGCTGGGAATGATAGATATTCATTCTCCACCTTGAGGGGGAGTGTTGATGAGAGCTTAATTATTTCCATGATTTATTTCCTTGTTTATAGTTGTAAATTTATTCTCCCGTAATTAGTGGTTACCTTAGGAATGTATCTTAAAATAGTGGTTGTATCTTAGGAAAGTTATTATTCCTTTCCTGTATATATTCCTACTCCATTGAAGGATGAATATACGAACTTTCCATCTAACATTGGCTCTGTTCTACTCAAATGACATAGTGAACTTGTAATTCATAGGTGGTCATAGGATCTCTTCTGCTAGTATAATCTTTGAGTAACTAAAATTACAAAACAGTAAACAGATAAATCGAGGTATGGTAAGCTTCCCTTTTATTTTATATTTCTGTCTTCTCCTTAAAACTTCTTAACTTCTAAAAATCGAGCTAATTGTTCATGTTGTCTGTTCAATATCTCACTTTATTTTTCATTTCGGATTATGAAATGTATTTTTCCTCTATTTAAGTGGAATTAAATACAACAACAATGAAACTTTAATCCCAAAAGATTAAGTGGGATTTAATACTGATTTTTTATTTGTAATGATGATGAAACAATGCAGTTGGTTTCTTTCTAAAAATCGATTAAGTGTTAGAATGTAGTCTCTACAATGTCTCCGAAAGGCATCACTCCA